TCCTTCCAACCAACTGGAACGTGGCCATGGCAGTGACCCAGCTTTCATCGCACAGATGTTGACCAAGTTCCACGGCAGGGTTTCCAGTGTGTGCTGGGGACTGCTGAGGCCCTTTCAGGAAGGCTACAGGTCAGAACTATTTCCATATTAACACTAAGAAATTGTGTGTCTTTTTCACTGCTACTCTCTCACAAATACACAATGGAGTTTTCCATGTTTACATGAAGTGTGATATCACGGCAGCTGCAATGCAAAAGCAGACTAAGCATCCAGCTCTCTTCCATTAATCTAGAAATTAGAGGGATTTTTAAAAGTGTAAAGGTGGTGCCTCTCTTATTGCTGTAATTTCTTATTTGGAAAATATGGTTGCTTTTCATAAAAATGGGTTATTTTATGTTACCTGTATGGATTTATTATTGTCGTAAGATAAATTATTAAATATTTTAAAATTTGTTTCAGCTTCCTATATGGTAAATATCAACAGATAGGGTTCATGTAAATTAAAGCTTTTTTTGAGATCTTTGATAATTGTTAAAAGTGTAAAAGGGTCTATGACCCAAAAATTTGAGAGCTGTTGCCCCAGGGGTTGGAGGAGCAATGACTTGGAAAGAACCTGCGGCATTTCTGAGTGAAAGTGAGGAATGAAGCTGCCCTGCTCTCACTCATGATGAGGCCGTTATGTACAAGAGAAGTAAGTTTCTGTGTTATGTCACTATATCATTTTATTATGGCATCTTGTATTTACCCTGAATTTTATATATATATATATATATATATATATATATATATATATATACACACACACACATTCATGCACATACACACACATATATTTATATAAGCAATAGTCATACAAGTGGGGCATTACTATATATAAAACTAAAATATGTGGCATTAGTTTGCATGGGCAGTAAAGGCTCATACATTTTAGGCTACAAAGTGGATAACCCTTGTTACATCATTGCAAAATATTCAGTAAAACTACTACTTGTGATAACCTGGAAGGCAGGTGATGTTCCTATGGAGCCCATAGCTAGTGAAGAAGTGGCTAGAAAGAGCTAGAATATTAGTTTCTGTTGACTGCACTCTGTTGCATTTAACAGCATATTACTATAGGTAAACTCAAGAAAAAATCAACCAATTTACAAGTAGATAAAGAATAAAGAAAGGCTGAAAATGCAAACTGCTCGTGTACCACCAAACAAAAGAGACAAAGCTATTATTGCTCAACAGACTCCCATTAAACCCTCTTTTACTTCCAAAAAAAAAAATGAACCAGCCTTGAGTCAAAACCCAGACTATGTTTTTTTATGTGGCCTTAAGGTAACTGCTATCAAAAATGAGAAAACAAAGAAAGAAAGTGGTTTCATTACTATATTTAAGAAAGAACTTCGGGTGTAGTTATAGGCTGTGAAACTAAGTGGACACAAAAGAGAAGATGCCTACCATATTTTTGAGGAAATGGCTTTACCCAAGTAACCAAAATCTTGTATTTTTTCTAAAAATAGCTCCCAAGGAGTGTAATCACCAACACGCCACTTTGATGGGGCTATGCAGGACAACAGATGACAGGGAAAACTTCTTGAAGGGCCAGGGGCCTTGGAAGAGAACAAAGAGTTACTCCATGAGAGAGAAGCAGGAGTTGCCAATGAACTAGCCCAGGAAACCACTCCACTGCCCAGGCAAGAACGCTCCGCCATCCCTGCCTCACACCATTTGTTATTTGATTTGGCTCAGTGACTACTACGTACAGGATGGGGGAAAAGCAGGCTTACAGTTGTTCGTATGAGAAATAATACAATAATTAATATGTAATAACACAAGAATAAACTCTTTGTTTCATATACTCACAACAGTCAACCTGCTTTTGCCCACCCTGTATATTGCCAAACTTCCCTTTTTCCAACAGGAGTCTTCATTTCCCTCTTCCTGGTCTTGTTCTTTCCCTGTTTGTTGTGGCAGGAAGGGAAGACAAGTTGATGTTTAGTTTATAGGTGGCTGAGTATGAGGAGTTGAACTGGGACTGAACAGGGAGAACTGACCTGCACATCAACAAGGAACAGGCAAATGGAAGAGTTGTGAAGGACAAGGTATGAGACCGGGGCTGTTCCCGACTTGTATCCTTTATAATAAGCTGGTAAATATGAGTGTTTTCCTGAGTTTGGAGCATTGTTCTACCGAATTACTAAAACTGAAGAGGGCATGTGGGAACCCCTGAATTCATAGCTGGTTGGGCAGAAGTGTGGGTGGCTCCCAAGACTTGTAAATGATGTCTGAAGTGGGGGCAGTCTTGTGGGACCTAGCCATCAATCTGCAGTGTCTGTGCAAACTCTGAATAGTGTCAGAGTTGAAGTCAATTCGTGGGCACCTGGTTGGTGCTGGAGAACTGGAGAATTGGAGTGGGATATGCCACACATTTGGTGTCAGAAATGGTGCCAGAAAAAAAACAATACCCCAGGAGCTTAACTGCACAGAGGTTGTGGGACCCTAACTCCTCTTTACATAAACACTTCAGCGTTGCCTCTGCACCCTCCAAACTCCTGCACTCAGCAATGGAGGCATCGACCTCAGGTATCATGGTACTGCCCACAGTGACCAAGAACCTCTAGGCTGCCATGATGCCAACCTAAGAAGATGTTAAATCGATCTTCTCCAGACCCAGAGCATAGCTGAGGGTAGCAAATCAAGTGACAGCACATTTTAACGAGAGATACCAGATGATCCTACAGATCTCGCTAACAGGAATCCCCAAACCAGTTTTGTGACTCTTGGCCCATCACCGGGTCCTGGCTGTATCAGAGAAGTGGAGATTGATCAGGGATCCAGAGAGAGTTCCTGGAGAGTTATATATTTGCAGCCTCTTTTCTTCTACCTGCCCCATTATAAGCTACATGAGGAAGAATTTCAGGATTCTGAGATGTCACTTTAGGTTTCTGAGCCTGAACCAGGACCAACCTGGGGATAGCAGAGATGTATTAAATTGAATGAGACGTTAAAGTCTTGATTTAGGTTAAACAGAACTTTTTTTTAAATTAATTTTTCCCCAGCTTTTTTTGGGACATAATTGGGGACTAGGCTTTTTCATACCTGAAAATGAGATGATCTGTTAATGTTTTGAAAGTAATGTCGAAAAGCTATAGGCTCTCCCTGAGCCATTATGCAGAGGAGCAGAGGGAGCCATGATGCAGCATGTTTGAAAGGCAATAGAGAGGATCAAATAGCGTTTTATGCCTGTGCTTGCCAAGAGCATCTCACTCAATGCATAGGGTGGGGACCAGGTTGGGCAGGAATGCCTGTCCACCTGGCTGTCATGCCTCCACCAGTCGCCAAGAGTCATAGGGAATGGCTGCCATAGCATTTTCAATGGCCATGCCATGTGGCAGCAATAGCAACAAAACAATGTATTTTTTTAGATTCTCTCTTCAAGGCCAGAGCAATTAGAGCCAAGCTCTTAAACTGAGTAAGCACCAGAGGTTCTGGACTAACTGGGGGAGGAGGAAACCTGAGGAGGGGAGAAAGATGCTACAGCACAATAGGGGTCCCAATACAGTGATGCAGAAGACTCAAAGAAAGGCTTATGATGCTACCCTCTGGCCTTAAACTCCCTAACTCCACACTTCTCTCATACAGGAATAAACTTAAATCTTATTTGACTTAATCCTCTCTGATGCAATATCTATAATATGTTAAACGCTTCTTTAAATAAGTACAAAAAAGATAAACAAGTCTGTAGAAATATGGAGAAAGGAAAGCCAGTAATTCATACAAGAAAGAAACACAAATGGGTACCAAATAGCTGAAAATATACATACCCTAAGTAGTAACTCAAGACATGTAAATTTGAAAAATGAAATACCATTTCTTACATATTAGGTTGACAAAAATTTTAAATATGAACTATATCTGGTTAAAAATAAAAATTATATCTGGAAGAAACAAAGTCTCAATTAATGTTGATGGGACTATACTTGGAAAGACTTTGCAGGACAGTGTGGAAATAACTACAAAAATTAAAATGCATTTGTATGTGAATATGTGCACATGTGTAAGTGTGTAATGCACAGAAAAAAGGCCTGGAACATAAATATACAGCTTAATAGTGTTTTTATCAGGAGAGGAGGGTCAGTGGAATGGGAGAAGGGTATTAATGAAATTTCACATTTTATACCAACTTAAAACTTTTATGACCACACATTATTTTTTAATTAAATATTTCAAATGAAAAATTAGTTACACTAGCCTTTCAAAAGTTAAATAGATATGCAAAGTGTTTTCATTGATTTATTTCCCTTTAAAAGAGATGTGTTAGGTACATAGCAGACATAATCTACTCAAGTCTGAGTAAACTTTGGTAACCTGAACCCTACTTTGTTACAGGGAAGCAGTTTATTATTTCACAGCCCAAGGAAGGGGGGCTTCTTTAATTAGTAACAATGCAAATACAAGTGATATTTTATATCCCTGGACAGTAGTAAATAAGGCTTGTTTTTAGTAATTAAAGATTAAAAATACAATTTTAGGGATTTGAAATAAAGGTTAAGGAGATTAGTGTTTTTAATAAAAATAGTTCTTTTATTAGTTTTCATCTTTTCTTTTTGGCAGAGACTGTCTTGAGTCTTTAATCTTGTGTGCCAAGGAAATGACCTTCTGCCACCTCCTACTGAAGTCCTTGCCTGTTTTCAGACCAGAAGTCATTTCAAGTAACAGCAAGTCTTCCAAGAAATCTTTTTTTTAAAAAGCTCAAAGTTTTAAGTAAAAAGTAGGTCATTTAAAATATAAGGAGCCCTGATTGACTTCGGGCCTATGAAACAAAAGATCACCAGTTTGATTCTCAGTCAGGGCACATGCCTGGGTTGCAGGCCAGATGCCCAGTAAGGGACACTTGAGAGGCAACCACACATTGATGTTTCTCTCCTTTTCTCCTTCCCTTCCCTTCCCCTCTCTCCAAAAATAAATAAATTTGAAAATAAATAAAATAAAATATAAGGAGACATTCTTACTTGGTCCTCAAAAGACAGAGCCTGGGCAACGTCTCTTGGAAATCCATCAATAACAATGCCTTCTTCATCAGGTATCTGCATCAATTTTTGTTTTATCTCTGTAATTGTTGTTTCCTTTTGTAAAGAAAATAAGATGAAAAACCACAGTTAAACTTACTGTACTCACAACTGGTATAAAAACTGCAGAATTATTTTTTAAAAAAGCAAATTACACAGCAGTACCTGTGGGGCCAATTCTCCAGTTGTGATTATTTTGGCAATGAGACTCCATTTCCTGTTGCTGCTGGCACTGTGGATCTTCTTTCTTAATAATTCTCCCACAGAAATGCATTGGAATCCATAGCGTTCCGCGATTTTCAAACTCTGAGTACCCTTTCCACTTCCTGGACCACCTAGCATTTGAAACAGGCAAAACTGTGAGCTTCTCATACAGAAAGAAACTCCCTTTTATACAACAACTACCTTCATCGTGAGACGCAGCTTCTAGACCAACAGCATCAGGGCGGGTAACTGTCCCACTTGTGGCATTCTCAACCCCACTCCTGAATGCAGGGCAAGTGCAGATTAACCAAGGAGAGCGGAGAACTGTCGTGATCAACTCAACTAACTGCATTAGATGAAAGAGACCAGTTTTTTTTGCAGTTAAAAGAAAACTTCACTATTTTTCTATGTAAACACTCACACGTTTTCCTCATAAACAACTACATCATACAAAGGACAATGAAGTAACAGACACATTTCATGTCAGCAGAGAGTTAACGTGCAATATAGTGAAATATAACAATTATTTTTGACAAAGGAAAACCAATATTGGCATGACATCTAAATTTTTTGAATTTTTTCTGTTCATGCATATCCTTGCCTTAACTCCTTTAAGTTTGAAAGTACTTTTATGCAGAAAATATGCAGAGTGAATAAAATAGATTCTTAAGGTACAGCCATTTTACAAAACTCATGATAATTTTGATTTTGAGATACATTAGTGTGAAATAATCAATACTTTGCAATATAACTCCATACTAATCATTGGTAGTTGCCATTTATTTTTAAAAATGTAAGTACTAAAATAATTATAAATATAGGGCTCAGATTTTACATTCAAATCATATTGGATTATTTTAGTTAATTTATATTTGTAAGTAAACTAGATGAATAGGAATCTAAAGTCTGAACTAATTTCAAAATACAGCACAGACAACCAGCCTAGTCTGATTTATTTGCTGACAATTATCAAAGTGAAATATTTTCAAACACTTGAGGAAAAATTATTGACTGTAGACAAAATCTCATTAAAAATCAATGTCTAATAAAATGCTTTCGTAATATTCACTGAAATATAATTGTAATTTATTAAGCAATGTTGAAAATAAAAATTCAATAGAAAAGTGAGTTGATGTTCTACCTACTAATTCAAAATATTAATTTTTTTGCATGTAAGTCATTTTATATATAATTATTTAGTCAATTTTTTAATTCTTGTTGCAAATAATTAAGTAAAACAGAAAAACAGGTGTTTTGTTTTGTGTTTTACAAGGAGGGTTCCAAATGGGTAGAATTAGTCATCTGGGGCTTATTTCCTCACTAAAAATTTAATGTGCAGGGGTATAAAATCAACTAATATAATGAGATCCATTTCTTAACCTCAATCCCAGATAATGTACCTGACAATATCTGGCTTTCACCTTTTTAATTTCTTTATTCAACTTAGGATAGGGATTTGTTTACATTTTGATCATTCTCTTTCTAAGAACCTCTAAATTCTATCCTAGTAATTTAATGTTATGTACTATTAGCAGATTAAATTAATTACTTTGTCAATCAGAAGTTAGTTTTGGTTGTAAATAGCTGCTTTTAGCCTATTAACCTATGGGCAAATTATGAATTGGCTTGAAGAAAAAAATATATGACCGCTCCATCAAAAAATTTAAACTGATTTAATCCCTGAAAAACAAGTTATTTTTTGTAAACTGTATTTTCATCCTTAATCTCACAAACCATCAAACTAATATATTATAAAATCCACTGAATTTAAAAAATTAAACACTAAGAAAGTTATGGCACTTCACAGAAAAAATTTGTTTTTTGTCAACTAATGGAAGCAATAGCAGAAAACAACAAAAAATGATGAGTATAATTGACAGAGAACAGCATTAATTTATTGGATGAGTTTGGCTACTTATTTTTTTAAATATTTTTAAATTAATTTTTTGGAGAGGGGAAGAGAGGGAGAAAGAGAGGGAGAGAAACATCAATGTATGGTTGGTTCTTGTGCGCCCCCTATTGGGGACCTGGCCCACAACCCAGGCATGTGCTCTGACTGGGAATTGAACTAGTTACCCTTTTATTTGCAGGCCGGCACTCAATCACTGAGCCACACCAGCCAGGCCTACTTATTTATTCTTAAAAACTAATTTTACTTTATTCTCTCTGAACTCAGAGTGAGCTTAAATTTTGTCCTATTTATTTATCTCTAATACTTATAAATACTAGAATCCATCTAACTCTTAGATTTTATGATTACATTAACATAAGAGAGATTAGTATCTGTACCAAGAAGGTCATCTTAAAAAAAAAAGTTTTGTATCTCCAGAAGGGAAATTTTGTTTATTTGGATGTAATACCATGTAAAATTATCTGTACCTCCCCCACTAGTTTTCCAGGTTGGAAAGTAAAAATTTATAAGGTTCAGGCACAATTATTTTATAATTCCTCAAAAGTCATAAAATGGCTTCGTTTTTTTAAAATGACCTAACTTTTGGGTTTTCCTTTCTTCTTTTATCTCAATCCTCTAAAAGTTATTTATAATCCTTGGCTTTATATCATTCATGTAATACATAAAATATAACAATATAGCATGCCAGTCTGAAACCAAAAATCACACCCTTGGAAAGCAAGTTGATTTTACTGAGTAAAAAAAGAACTCTTAAGCAGAGGAGATTTGAACATTCATGTCTTCTCCAAAGATCTTGATTTATTGAAATATTTTAATCATTTTTATATAAAATTCTCACTCACAAAATACTCACCTATAGACTGTTTTACACAAGGGCAATTTGGTATTGCCCTTGTGTAATACACATTGCCCACATTTTTTATGGTCAATCAAGCCTCCTTTTTCATTCCATTAATAATAAGTATTTCATTATAAATGGTAAAATAATTTCCAGTTATGTGTGTAGCTGTTCTAATAAAGCATTTCTTTGTCTTACAGTTAATCTCAAAATTTTAAACACATTCACAAAAATTCCATTTTTAAGAAGACAGAGAAGTTTATGTCATGAATGATTCCATACACTATACGAATATTTTGACTTTTGGGAAGTTGAGTTATCTATTTCCTTTCTATCACATTATTTTAAACAATTCAGGGTTAAATATGTTTGCAATTCCATTTTAATTACACTTAGAGATATACAAATGTCGCTCTTCCTGCTCTGGTGCACTTAAATTCTTGTTATAGCTTGCTGTGTTTATCTGCATGCGTTTTTCCTAGTTGCCATCATCGTTATAGTTTCTAGGAGCAGTTCTTTGCATGAAGTCTGTATACGTTTTGCCCTCTGTTAACACTTTCTGGCTAGAATAGCTTTGAGTATTTCACATTAGATTTTTGCTTTCCGCAATCTCTAAGTAGGCCTAGTCAAACTGCAAAGTGAGACAGTAGCTACATATATATCATGTTCACAGGTCTCTTCTTATTTTTTTAATAGATTTTGAGGAAATTAGAATTTGCAAGAGTGGTCAAAAATGCATTCTGGAAAAAGTAGTTAAAACATTTTCAATATCTATCCTGTGACATGGCATCAGACTGATATTTCTGTATTCCAAGTAAGATTCATAGTGGCAATTAAAAAATTAACTATTATCACTAAATTTTTATTCTTAGATGTTATATGCTGTGTAAAATACTATTCTTTTCGATATGCTTTTCTAAAAGAAATAACATCAAAACTTACATTTTATGTAGTTGCCAGTTTGCCATAAGGAAGATTCATTTATGAGTCTTAACCAGCTTATCATGATTGTCATTACTGTTCCCTGTACAGTTAATAGTGAATAAATATTAAATTTGTCGAGGTAAAGGGAAAAACGCATCGTGTTTAGAAAACTTCTAATAAATTCAGTTATCTATGTTAAAAATTAGACAAAACCACAGGACAAAAGCTTTGAAGGGGTTAGCACTTTCAATTCATTATACAGAAACATGACACTCTAATGGGTTCTGTAAAAGTACAATAGCATTAGATTGCACAATTATAACAATTTCTGTTTCATTGAAAATTATGCTAAAATATTTCCATTTACTTATTTCTTGAGCTTTTGTTTGTTTGGTTTGTCATTTTTTATCCACTAAGCATTTGCAAATGTGATAGATAATTGACACAATTTTCTAAATGTAAATATATAAATCAAGTTAGAAATAGTATGAGAATTTGCTTTCTGTCCTCATACCTATGACAAGAATGATTTTTGGTCGAGGTCTGGTAGGATCAAAAACCTCGTATTCCTCAATCAACTCTGCAGTCTCGGAGAGGTCCGTGTCACTCTCTATGGAGAATTGATGGATTGGAGGGAGCCGATCGTACCGCCGATAGGGAAAATTTGAATTTTCAGGCATTACTGCAAAAAAGTAAGATAACTTTGAAACGGAAAAAAAGGAATAGCTGAAAAAAACTTTCTTGCACTTACTTGATTAGCAGAAAACATTTAAAAACTAAACAAGTTTCATTTTTTTCAACTTGAGGAAGACCCCATCTCGTAAGTGGTCAGCAAACCTTTTGTTAAAGGGTCAGATAGTCCATAATTTGGGCTTTGAGGGACATGCAGTCTTAGACTCAACTTGGCCACAGTAGTGGGAATGCAGTCATAGACAAAATACAGGGTAGGGCAAACGTAGGTTTATATTGTTCGCATGAAAAATAACACATAATCAATAATACAAGAACAAACTTTGTGTTGCACATACTTACAGGTGTAAACCTACTTTTGTCACATCCTGTATAAACAAACAGATGTACTTGTGTTCTAATAAAACCTTATTTATAAAAACAGGCAGTGAGCCAGAGTTGGCCTATGGGTCATGGTTTGCCAACCTTGGCCTCAAGGAACCTTCTTAAGTACCGCCTAGTCTTGCTCGGTCATTTTTATACATCATGGTGTGTGCAAATGAAACTCTCTGGACTTGTGCAATGCACAACCACCACCACTTTCACAACCACATGTAGCTCTCCAAGCAGTCAATGCTTATGTATAAGATATTTCATTTATTTAATAAATATAGACACACAATCACTATGATCCAGGCACTCTAATGTAGTCCAGTGGAAAGGCTTGGTGGCATAGTGCACAAAAACTTAGGGCACTGTTATAAGACAGGTAAAATGATAGCAAACAATTTCTACTGATACTGAATTTTGCTGATATTGAAAAATATTCTAAATATCTTTAAATATCAGAGAATTTTACTTTCCCTATATTGATTATCATTAACTTCCTTGATTTATAAATGTAACTGAAGATTTAAGATTATACCTACAATGGCAGAAGTTTAATGAATGGGTAGATCCATTTGGGTTAGAGTGGTAAGAAAGGACTTGCAAAAGAGGCATGGCCTGAACTTTGAAAGACAAGTGTATCTCAGTTGGTAGAAACAAAAACCCAAAGACTCAGAGTCAGAAATACAAATGAAATATTCAAAAGGACCACAGGACAGAGTGGCAAGTCCAAGTCAGGCAGATGGTCTTAACCAATTGTCTCTCTATATAATTTTGGCTTTTCCCTTCCTCACCACATGTGTTAATATTCTAGAAGGCACAGAGAAGCCCTAACTACCCAAAGACACCTGCACAAAGGAGACAGAAGGACACCTGGCCTTCCATGAGGGGACTTCTGAATTTTAGTGTGGCATGATTTATACTTCCTTCCAGGGTGTAGACCAGGTAGAAATTCCCATTATTTGTTTACACAACAAATGAGGTCACTGACTACTGTCCCACTGGACTCCCTTAAGTTCTACAAAAAGAATGGAGTAGTCTGCAGATAATAGTGGATATTCTTTTTGGGGAAATTCTGGGAAGGGCTGTCATGGAAGGCACTGATGACCATATCCTGTTCTGCCTTGGAACTGAATTATTTCACCCAACATAGGGCAATACTAGGCATTATGCTTGATTACTTTTTCCCTCATTCTACACATCTACTGCCACTGAGTTTTTTAAAAATTTCATCTTTATTGCATGTTATTACCATTACTATTTAGTCTTCTTACACCCTTCTCTTCCCCAGCAATCACCACACTGTGGTTCATGTCCATGAGTCCTTTATGTTTTTGCTCAATCCCTCCACCCCCTAACTGCCCCCATCACTAGCTGTCATCTGGTCTCCATCTATGAGTCTGACTCCATTTTCTTTTAGTCCAGTTTGTTCATTAGAGTCCACGTATAAATGGAATCATATAGTATTTGTCTTTCTCTGACTTAACACAATGTTCTCCAGGTCCATCCATACTGTTGCAAAGGGTACAGTTTTCTTCTTCTTCTTCATTTTTTATGGCTGAGTAGTATTCCATTGTATAAACATCCCACAGTTGTTTTATATGCACATCTATTGATGGACACTTGGGCTGCTTCCATATCTTGGTGATGGTAAATAACACTGCAATGAACATAGGGGTGCTTATGTTCTTTCAAATTAGTGTTTTGGGTTCCTTTGGGTACATTCCCAGAAGTGGGATAGCTGGGTCAAAAGGCAGATCCATTTTTAATATTTTGAGATATCTCCATACTGCTTTCCATAGTGGCTGCACCAATCCATAGTCCCACCAACAGTGCAAAAGGGTTCCCTTTTCTCTGCATCCTTGCCAGCACTTGTTGATTTATTGATGATAGCCATTCTGACAGATGTGAGATGGCATCTCATTGTAGTTTTAATTTGCATTTCTCTGATGATTAGTGACATTGAGCAGCTATTCATATGTCTGTTGGCCATCTGTATGTCCTCTTTGGAGGTATATCTATTTGGGTCCTTTGCCCAATTTTAATTGGATTGCTTGATTTTATGGTGTTAAGTTTTGTAAGTACTTTATAAATTTTAAATATTAAGCCATTATCAGATGTATCGGCAAATATGTTCTCCCATTCTGTGGATTGTCTTTTTATTTTTTGATGATTTCCTTCATTTTGCAAAAACCTTTCAGTTTGATGAATTCTCATTTGTTTATTTTTTCTTTTGTTTCCCTTGCCTGGGGAGATATATCTGATAAATTTCTATGAGCAATGTCTGAAATTTTGCTGCCTATGTTTTCTTTTAGGATTTTTATGGTTTGGGGTCTAACATTTAAGTCTTTGATCCATTTTTATTTATTCTTGTGTGTGGTGTAAGAAGGTCATCTAGTTTAATTTTTCTGCATGTATCTGCCCAATTTTCCCAACACTGTTCATTGTATAAACTATCTTTAGTCCATTGTATGTGCTTGCTTCCTGTGTTGAATATTAATTGACTATAAAGGTGTGGGTTTATTTCTGGATTCTCTATTCTGTTCCATTGATCTGATGTGGGGGCAACTTTTTTGAGAGCCCCCCCCCAGCCCCCAAGTGCCACGGACACAAGTGAATATGACTGAGTCATGAATTGATCTGTTTAGGGAGGAGCAGTGGCCTGTGGCCAGTTTCTCAGGGGAGACAAAGGCCAGCAGTGGCCAGTTTCTCTGAGGGGAAAAAGGCCCTGAGCGCCCTGCTCAATAGCCTTTTATTGGGTTGTAATATACAGGAATTCAGAGTGGCAAGGATCAAACAGTAGATAACATTTCAAAGAGATCTGAGGGCTTCAGAGTCTGAGTCAGTGTTTGTCAGGAAGAGAGTTGCAGAAACTTTGGGAGACATACTTATTTCCTCTCGGACCCTTATCATATGAATGAAAGCGCTCTTAGCAGAGCAGATTTCACAGGTTTATCAGGAAGTCTTTGTGATGCCAGATTTTCCCCCAGGACATGCTTTAGCAAGGCAAGGAGCTGCACCTCTCCCCATCAGGTATTCAGGCTTAAGGGGATTAGAGCCAGGAAGCACTTCTCCCAGAGAACATGAGGACTCAGGCTATGTCAAAGCCAGGGGGTGAGAGGCTATTACTCTTTGTTGCAGCTCCCCACTGAGTCCTTCCATGAAGGCCTCCCAAGTGATCAAGTCTGGCTTAGGTTGCCCCCGCCCCCCGCCTCACTGTGAGGGGTCTTACCCATCATTGACTTCCGACCAAGCTTTGGGGGCAGGGAGAGGAACTGAGGCAGCATTTGCTACCAGAGACAAGCTTTGTCTCCTGCGGCTGGCACTCCAAAGGTCGTGGCTAGCCCTTAGCCACAAGGGGTGGAGATACAATTCCTAAAACCAGGCAGAGCAGTCTACAACAATCTATGTGTTTGTTTTTTATGTCAGCACCAAGCTGTTTTGATTACGGCCTTGTTGTATAGTTTGATATTAGGTATCATGATTCCTCCAACTTTGTTCTTTTTTTCAGGATTGCTGCAGCTTTGCAGGGCCTTTTGTGGTTCCATATAAATTTTTGAAATATTTCTTCTAGTTCTGTGAAATACATCATTGGAATCTTGATAAAAACTGCATTGAATCTATAGATTGCTTTGGGTAGTATGGACATTTTATTGACATTAATTCTTCCTATCCATGAACATGGTATGTGCTTCTACTTATTTGTATGTTCTTCAGTTTCTTTCTTCAGTGTCTTATAATTTTCTGAGTACAGGTGTTTTACATCCTTGGTTAGGCTTATTTCTAGGTATTTTATTCCTTTTGAAGCAATTATGAATGGAATTGTTTACTTAATTTCCCTTTCTGTTAGCTTGTTGGCATATAAATGCAATTGATTTCTGGATATTAATTTTGCATTTTGCTACTTTGCTGAATTCATTTATTGGATCTAGTAGTTTCTTGGTGGAATCTTTGGCTTCTCTATGTACACTATCATGTCATCTGCAAATAAAGACAGTTTTACTTCTTCCCTTCCAATTTTCAGGCCATTTATTTCTTCTTTTTGCCTGATTGCTATGGCTAGGACTTCCAGTACTAAGTGGAATAAAAAAGGTGAAAGCAGACATCCCTGTCTTGTTCCCGATCTTAAGGGGAATGCTTGTAGTTTTTGCCCATGAATATGATGCTGGCTGTGGCTTTGTCATATATGGCCTTTATTATGCTCAAGTATATTCCCTCTATTCCCACTTTGCTGAGAGCTTTGATCATAAATGGGTGCTGGATTTTATCAAAAGCTTTTTCTACATCTATTGATATAATCATGGGGTTTTTATACTTCATTTTGTTTATGTAGTGAATCATATTTGTTGATTTCTGAATGTTGTACCAAACTTGCATTCCCAGAATAAATCCCACTTGATCACAGTACATGATCTTTTTGATGCATTGCTGTATTCAGTTTGCTAATATCTGTTGAGGACTTTAGTATCTATGTTGATCAGTGATATTGGCCTACAATTTTCTTTCTTTATAGTGTCTTTATCTGGTTTTGGAGTTAGGCTAATACTGGCCTCATAAAATGAGTTTGGGAGACTTCTCTCCTCTTGAATTTTACGAAATAGTTTGAGAAAGAAAGCTGTTACTTCT